GGAAACTGTGGACGTACCGACATATGATGAAGACGTGGATAAGTCGACAACAGAAGAGGTGCTACGTACGCCACCATCACGAATGCAGAACGGATCTGTCAATGATCGGGAAGATCGACTAACCGGTTCCATTCCAACGCGCGCATCCAGCACGCCAGGACGGGATGGAGAAGAAGAGTGGATGGTGCGACCGATTCGGAAGAAGCGCGGCGTTGTTCGTTACGAACAGGAGTTTCCAGCCATCGTCGCGGCCAATTCAACCTGGACGACTATGAAGGTGATTATGACTCCTTCTACTGTTTCTCGGCTGAAGAAGATGGAGAACAAGCGTCCAATTATGAAGAAGTGCTGAAAAGCAACTACAAGGAGCAATGGCCGGAGGCAATGAAGAGCGAGATGAAGTCTCTTAAAGACCACAGCACATGGAAGCTATGAACATGCCTCAGTACAAGAAGGCTGTCGGATGCAAGTGGATTTTCAGGATCAAGCGCGATCCAAGTGGAGCGATTATCAAGTTCAAGGCGCGTCTGGTTGCAAAGGGATTTACGCAGCGGCCGGGAATCGACTACAATGAGATCTTTGCACCGGTGGCGCGCAAGGAATCGATTAACACAGTGTTGGCCATCGCTGCAGCTGAAGACCTAGAAGCAGAAAACGTCAATGTTGACACAGCGTTCCTCTACGGTGATGTGGAAGAAGAGATCTACATGGACTAACCTGACGATTTTGAAGATGGAGAAAGCCCGACAAAGAAGTGTTTATTGCAGAAGGCACTCTATGGGACCAAGCAAGCGGCACGTCAGTGGAACAGCAAGTTGAATCGCCATTTAGAAGATCAAGGATTCAAGAGCAGTACGGCTGACCCGTGTGTGTTCGTTCGAATGGCTGAAGAGGAGTATAGCATCATCGTGATCTACGTGGACGACTTGATGATATTCTGCAAGACGAAGGAGCACATCACGAGTATCAAGAATGCACTGAACAAAGAATTCAGCATTAAAGATCTTGGGGATCTCAAGTACTGCCTCGGAATTCATCGCAAGCGTGAAGAACGCGTTATCAAGATGAATCGAACGGCATACATCAAGCGACTTTCGGAGAAGTTTGGCGTTGATAACTGCAAGGACGTGCACACACCAGCGGAAAGCAACTCGAAAATTGATCAAGATGCGTCAAGATGAAGCTTTTGTCCCCAAGCACCCGTATCGCGAGCTTGTGGGTGCATTAATGTACATCGCCACATGTACGCGACCGGACATCGCGCACGCGGTTGGCGAAGTTGCAAAACATTGCGAGCGCTACAACAAGTCTCACTGGACAGCAGCAAAGCGAATTCTTAAGTACTTGAAGACAACTCAAGACACGAGCATCGTGTTTAGCGGTTTCAACAAGGGAGAGCTTATTGGATACGCGGATGCGAATTGGGCTGGCGACCTCGATACGCGGCGATCAACAACAAGATACGTTTTCTTTTTGAACGGGAGCGCGATATCGTGGAACTCAAAGCGCCAGCCGACCGTCGCGACCTCAAGCACCGAGGCAGAGTACATGAGTCTGTACAACGCGACGCAGGAAGCTATTTGGCTTCAAAGTCTGCTCAAGGACCTGGTGTATGGTATTAAGGCGGCGACGACGACGATTTTTCAAGACAATCAAGGATGCATCGCGCTGGCCAAGAATCCTGTATATCACTCGCGCACGAAGCACATCGACATCAAGTTTCACTTTCTGCGTGAAAAGGTTGCAAGTGCGGTGATTACACTCGGGTTCAAGCCAACAGAAGAAATGGTCGCGGACGGATTCACCAAGGCACTTCCTAAAGACAAGCATAACAAGTTTATCAAGGGTCTTGGCATGGCGGTGTAAGATGCACACTTTGCGCGCACAACAAGGGAGAGTGTTGAAGAGTGATGTTGCGGCTACGTGTGTAGGATGTATATTTAATATGTTGTAGAGTTGTATTGCAATTACTTATAGGTTAGGATTGCATAGCTGGGCCAAGGTGCAGATTGGCTCAGTTGTTTGGGAAGGAGGATTCCACGCTACTGGTGCGGGTTTAAACCCTCAAAGTTAATTGTGGCTGACACCTACGACCTGGTGTTCGGGGTTCAGCAAAGCCTTGACCTATCCAAGACTACGTTCCCCATCCCACGCAATCACCTTTTGTTCTGCATAGGCTATAGTGGAGTTCTTAACATAGGTATTTACAGGGAGTAATTACCTGTGGTACATACAGGGCAACAAATCGGTTGCTGAGAGTCACCGGCTTCTTATGGCCATTCGTTTATAGATAACAAACTATTCAAAATACAACTTACTTTTCGGTTTTCATCCCCAGCCGTAAGCCATCTTCAAGCTAACGACAACTCCATAACCTAGAAATCAACATAAAGCAAAGGCTCAATTGACATCCACCGTTAAGTTCCTGCTTCTGAAGATAGCCAGCACTTCTCACGAGTGTGAGTTACCGGCGACCGTTGCTAAGAAGGTTCAGAGACGAAGCTCACTTGCCGACCTTGCTCCCCCAGCACGTAAAGCTAGGGAAGTGTCAACGACGTCAGAGCAATCTTTCCGGAGAGGTATCTCAAATTTCCAGGAGTCGTACGAACGTGGATAGCCTCTCCACTTCGCCGTATATTGGGTATGACCCTGGTAACGACGAGTCTGGAGCATGGTGCGTCTGATTCGGTGGCATCTCGCCTAACTTCTCTTGAGAAGCGTATCAATCCACAGCGCAACTCAATAAACCGTAATTGCTTGGAGTCATTCGGCCGCTGATAAGCGTTGTAGCGATCTCTTTTAGGCGTTTGTTGTAATACGCTTATGGCAGTTGTAATAACGACGGCCGTGGGAAAAGACTATACGCAGACCAAAACATATCAGAAGACGGACAAGACGATGAACAGTTATCACAACTATCAAGCAGGGGCAAGACATTGAGGTGAAGTTGCGATTGGAACGGTAGCTACAACCGTAGGAACAGAGGTACTCATTCTCATAATTGCAGGGAAGAAGGCAAGTCATTTTAGGCGAATACGGAATATAAGCTAAGTAAATATATTTGTGTGTGTTAATAACACATCCGGTATTTCTTGGCGAGCAAGGCCCTGGTACTGCTTATTACAGCTCTTTTCAAAAAGAGATTGCAACAGTGTTGGTGCACTTGTAGAACCCGTATGCATCCTTGGTGCATGATGATCCGTCTCCTTTTGCCAAGGGTACGAGGACAGCCCTCGAAGTCCCCGGAGGTCGGGTCAATGCAAGGCTTAGTAAGCCAACATATAACACAAGATGTGCTTGCATTTTTTTTAGGAAAGATCAGGCGTAGAGGCTAAGCCATTCTTTGGTATGAGCTTGAGAGGTACAATAGCAATGGTCTCATATAGAGACTCCCGTTTTACGGGCAAGTTTTGGACGTCAGTCATTAAAGTGCTTGAAACCAGACTAGACATATCCACGACGGATCATCCGCAGACTGATGGTCAAGCAATGGAGCACAATGCTCCCACTCATGTAGTTTGTGCGTAATAACGCGGTTCATGCCTCAACAAGCTTCACCCTTTCTATGTTAATGATTCGGGTAACCCTCGCGTTCCGTTAACGCTACCCCCTGCCAAATCAGGGCTTAGTGGGAAAGAGATAGCCGAAGGCTTGGATGAAATCAATCAGCCCTGTTGCAATTCGCAAGAAGGTGAAAGCGTTTTTTCAACGCTTTAACGTACTACATCGCATCAAAGAAGCTATGGCTGAAAGTCAAGATGTTTAGAAGAAACAAGCAGATGCCAAAGGCACAAAGAACGAACACGAGCTCAAAGTGGGAAGTTTTTATTTTATACGCGAGATATCTACCTGCTCGTGCAGTGTCTGCAATGTACAAGACCAAACTACGTCCACGCTTTATTGAACCTATTTATGGTCATAAGCAAGAAAAGCCTAGCCTATACGCTGAACCTTCCAAAGAAGATGCGAACACACCTTGTGTTCTGTGTGGGCTTACTAAAGCCATATCTTAACCCAGCCTCGGTGGACTTCGAGGGGTTGTTACCATATCTCCGACCAAAGGAGGTGGGTAATACATCTCCGGAGTTGCATAGGGATGCTGGAGGTGGAGATCATGGATCGGTGGTTTCCGAACCTAGCGACGCTGATCGATGATATGAGTTTCCATGTCAAGCGTCTCTTGGCGCGACGTCTTCATCAGAGTCGTGGCGAAGTGGAGGTGAAACCAACAGTCGTATGACTCATAGGGATACAAGGTAATACTTTGACAGGACTTCCCAGACGTCCTTGACGCTTTTAGCCAGGACCGTAAGAAGCGGAGACAGCAGTCACCGGACGCTTCCTAGCACTAGGTGCTGTGGAAGCAAGGTCAGTAGGCGGCTTCGACTCTGACCTTCTAAAGAAGCAGAAGCCGGTACATTACTTGCGTGAGAGGCACGGACAGCTGCTTCAGAAGCAGGTTCGTCGCAAGTACTTAACTAACATATGGAGGATAATGTACGCTTGTTCTCTAGCTTTGCAAAATTGAGACGAAGCCGAAGTTCTAACCAAACGTCCTGGTGCTTTGAGCTTAGGCGAAAGTCAGAGAGACTTGAAAGCTTGCAAGCTCGTTTAGTCCAAAGCGTGAACGGGCACTCATCTTGCGCAAATGTTTCACTTGGTGCAAACACCACTGGTATGTCGTTTAATGGATGCACCAGGACTCCACGTGACTGTCGCGACAGTCGTGATACGATTAAAACGTGAGCTCCTAGACGCTTACAAAGCGCGATACAGTCCGCAACCTCACAAGTCGTACGGACCTGGAGCCTAATGATGTAAGTACGCAAGGATCGCGATGCAGCTCGTCGAGCTTCCTCATTGGGTTTCCTAGGAACGAACCCATAATCACGACGTGAAAGCGTTTATTAGGGTCGTGCTAAGGCGGCCGCTCGGGCCTCGTCGTAGAGTTGACAACGCTGTGCAGCGTCAAGAGGGCAGTAAGCTCACACTCTTTAGTAATGTCAGAAATCACTTTGGAAACGAAGTTGGACAAGGCCATTGAGGCTGAGATGGACATCCCTGCTGCAGTACTATTTGCGCTGTAGGGGGATGGCTTGCTGATAACAAAAAGCTTGCGGGGTAACCCTATGAATTTGTTCTCAAGTTGGATGGAGGTGCGATGTCATGGTCAAGCAAACAGCAATCGATTGTAGCACTCTCGACAGCTGAGGCAGAATACGTATCAGCCTGTGCAGCAACGATGGAAGCTGTCAGTGAACAAAATGTGCGCAGCGAAGTTTTGACGATGATACCAGTGGCGATCAAAATCGGCATCGATAGCCAAAGTGCATACATTATGGCCGTGAATCCAACCTATTCGAAGCGCACACGACACATTGAGAAACGGCGACATTTTGTGCGAGAGCAGGTCAAGTTGAAGACAGTGCAACTTGAGAAAGTTCCCGGCCAGTTGAATACAGCGAATGCTTTTACAAAGGCACTGGACAAACGAAGACTTGTATGGCTATCAAGCTTAATTGATGTGCGAGTCTAGACAAGAGGAGTTGTATTGTATGAAGGATGCTTAACAGCATGTGAAGTCCCAGTATGGAAAGGAGTGGATTGTGAAGTCCCAGAGGTAGGTTGCTAGTGCGTTGCCGTGGAAGGCGACAGCACATACATGTAGTAGGAAGGTAGGACTTGTATAAGAACGATAATAAACGACAGTTCCAAATAACACGTTGCGGACGGTAGCTGGTTCTCTTTACAACAGGGTTATTAGCCCAAAAAATAGACCGACGATGACTGAGACAAAGCTATTCACGAAGGATGATGTTCCAGCCAATTGGAATGGAAAGTTCTGGCACACGTACTTCGAAATGATGAAGATGACGTTCCAGGATATGGATGATTCCGGCGAGCACTGGGATGTGACATGTGGACGCATTAAGGCTAAATACTTGTCGACAGATGAGGGAAAGCTGAAGTTGGCCAAGATGGAGCATAAACTTCGTAGAACGATTTTAATGTCGCTCTAAGTTGAACTTGCAGAGCTTTATCGGACGGAACCAACTGGAAGCATCATGCTGGCTGTTTTGACGAGACGGTACGCAAACCGGATGTTGAAAGCTGCTGTTTTCCACAAAGTACAACGGCTTGAGGAAGAATTACGGAGCATAAAGTACCATGTGAATGAAATACATCGAGGTCCATCTTCGGAAAATGAGAAACAAGCAGCTGGAATTCGCTGACTTGGGTCAGAACATTTCATTAACAACAATGATGATGTACATACTTCACAGTTTTCCGGCCAAGATTGACGAATTCGCGCTCATTCAAACGCAAAATCGGTGTGAAAATGCTCCCACGAAAGACATGGAAGAATTGGAAGAGCATATTCGAACAGCCAGTTCACGTTACCACAGCAGTCTAGTGTCTGCTGTGAGCGCGGATAATTATGAAAGTGGTCGCAGACCTAGGGGAGGTCTCGAAAAGAAGCGTGTCAAAACAGATAATTGGAGGTTGAAGTCTATAGGTGATGTCAAGAGAGAACCACGAACATGCTATGGGTGTGGTAAATCTGTTCACCTCAAGCGAGACTGTCCTGAATCTGGAGACACGAAAGGGACTAAAATGCGAGCAATGTTTGCACTCAACGCTCGACACAGATGAAAAACTTAAAGGAAGAAGTAACGCAGATTAAGTATGATGGTAAATTGTCTCCCAAAAGTGACAAGGTCGATGTAGTGGTAGAGTCTTCAGTGGATTCGCCGACAAATGTTGCTGGAAAGACTCATACCCAGAGAGACGAGCCATCAAATGAATGTGAGACCGTACCATCGGATAACTATTATTGGTGCTTTAATATTGGAGCGAACGTACACGTTTCAAGTGTCCGTGAGGATTTTGTGACGTATGATGGTGCTCCTGTGAACTTTCAAGTAAGTGGGATTTCTTCGGGGTCATATTCTACAGTGGTGGGCATCGGTACAATACTCATAGGTTCGAAGGTCGATGATGAAGACCATCACTTTCTCTAAGGATATGTGCTTCACGTACCGGATGCAATACATGATTTGTTCTTGCCTGGTAAAGCGATCGAGCACGGCCTGGCCGTTGGATTATCATTGAACACGAAGCTTGTAATATCGCGTTGAGGATCTGCGCTAGTGAAAGCTACGTTCCACGATGGAATGTGGGGCCTTACTTCATCAAGAAGACTTGGATACGATAGAAACGCTGGTGCAGTCATGAAGAAATCGGAGAGGCCCGGGTTGGCTGACTACTCAACGGCCGATCGACAGGCATCTATGAAGCTCTGGCATCAGAGATTGGAGCACACGTGTGACCAGTACCTCAAGATTATGGCTGATCAAGAGCATGTCGATGGTATGGTTGTGACCGCACGCAGAAGACGAGATGTGACGCATGTCATGTTGGCAAACAGCGTCGCTGATAGCGCCAGAAAAGACAGATTGTAAGATCTCTGCACCGAATCAAGTCGTGTACGCGGATTAGATGTTTCCAGCCAAGCACAACAATACTCGTTTTACTGCAATACTCGTGATAATGGACGGTTTCTCGAAGATATCTTACGACGAAACTTTTAACGCAAAAGAAGGCGGCAACGTTGAATCCACTGATGAAGGCTTATGTCAGCTGGGCAGAACGGAAGGCAGGACGATCTATCAAGAAGATCATTGTGAGTCGATGGGAACCAACGGAAGGCACACCAACCCTCCCGGTTCACAAGTTTCTGACCGACAAGGGAGGCAAATTTGTGAATGCGGACATTGATTTATGGTATCAATCGTATGGTATTGAGCACATAAAAGACGGACCTAAATGTTCGCATATGAATCCAGTGGAGCGTCAGCATTAGTCACTAGGTGAGATGGCGAAGACAATGCTACGACAAGCAGCTCTACCAAAATCATCTTGGCCAGATGCAATTGAGGACGCTGTGTATTTGATGAGCATAATTGCAACAGGAGTGTGGGATGCATGCCATTTGAAAAGCTATTTGGCACAAAGCCGGATTTTCACCACATTTGTAAATTTGGTTCCCTCGCTATGTGCATGTGCCGAAGGATCCAGATCGGCCACGACACGCAGACAACGCAAGGCTGCGTTTTCCTTGGTTTAAAGGAAGACAACGTTGGTTATAAGTTCATCCGGCAGAGAACACACGAAAGTGGTCACCGGATGTGCAGATCGATGAATCAATCCTTTATGGTGACCGCTACCGGCGCCACGATCCACGAGAAGCTCCAATATTTTCGTCGGAGGATCCTGGTAATGCTTCGGATACGGAGGGTGTGGATGATCACCAAACGCGACTGGCGTTTTACAGCGTCCTTACTGAACGATGCTCTTACAGATATAGTCAGCATCGATCAGGGGGGAATGAAGACGAGCTACTGTAGCTACGCTGCTTATGCACTATGTGCAGAAGAAGTAGTCAAACTACTGTAGCAAAGATACGTATGAACTACGTGCAGAGGAAGACAAGCTCAGAGAGCTTCTACGTCTTAGGGTGTTTAACCCTCCTAGGCTAGCTCGTAAGCTTGTGCCTGTCGGTATTAACAACCGCGTCTCAAAGAGACTAGTATCAAAGATACTTAATTCCTCAGGAGGGCGCTCAAGCAGTGATGCTTACAGAGCAGGTTTGAAACTGATTTATATTTATGTTTATCTTCTAACACTAAATATAGAAGCACCTACTAGTGCTAGTCACTATTACTGGCTCTTTAGCCTTTTATTATTATGCAAATATGCATAGCCACTATACTTTAAATAAGTATAGTGACCACGTGGCTCTCTGCCACGATGTGACCCTTCGTACTTCAGGTACGGTCACATCACCTACTTTTGTACCCAAGGTACAGCCACACCATATTGGTGTGGCAGGTGTGTATGTAAAATACACACTGTCGTGTAACCCCGTTACAGGGAAGATAAAGATAGTATACCGGATGTGATGACATGATCCATAATGACAATGTGTACGATAAAATGACGATGACGATTATGATGATGCAGTTGACGCTAGCATATCATCTTTAGCTGGTAACTATACCGAGACCTATAGTAGGTAGAAGAAACTCGCAGTCATAGTAGTCAGCAGCTACACGAGAGGGAAGTGGCGGCGCAGAAGAAACTCGCAGTCATAGTAGTCAGCAGCTACACGAGAGGGAAGTGGCGGCGCTTGGCTCAATGAAGTTGTTCCTTTTAGGGAAGATGACACGGAATGGGATCGCCGTCCTTTGCTAGGTGAGAATGGTAAGCGTGGGGTACTATAACCCGACGGAGAGTCGGCTCTGCTGGCCGTTGAGACAACGTCACTGTCATCATTTTCGAAGATGTCACGGCGCATCGCCTCACATATGATGAGGCAGAGCAACAGCTTTGTGAGCAGGGATGCAAGCGCATGTTGCTAAATCTTTAGTAATGCGCAGAGTGAATAGGCTGGAGATGCTCGAGGAGCAAGTGCTCAGAACACTGAAATGCTTTGAAATCAAGCGCTAGGCACTTTGCGCTTACGAAGCAAGTGTGGTAACACTAAAACGCTTAAGCGTAAGTGCACTGCTCTGAATGCTCAAAGAGCAAGGAGCTTTACACGCAAGTGCGGAGCACTTTATTGCGAGACAAGCAAAATGGAAAGAAAATGAAATCGTTAAATCTCCACATTTGGTTCGGAACTCGTTGCTAGTATTCCAACTACATGTTTTGCTTGCGATTTCAGTTCAACCTTGCTCTGGCGGCTTTGCTTTCGGCAACATATCTTTTGAAGCTCTGGCTGATAAGCTGATCTTGCCACCTTATGACGGATCCAATTGGACCAGTGATCACGACACGCCATTAGCTTTGGCTAATGCGCTCGTCACCGATACCAGTCTAGCATCATTGCAATACTCGCCAAATATTCCGCCACAGCCATTAGCGAGGGTAAATTACTCTTGTCATTGGCCGACACTTACCATGGTAACAAGTTTCGAGACAACCCAACGTGTCGAGCATGGGTCGATTACAAGTTTATATGTTTGCATCGAGCAGGTGCAAGAGCTTTTACTTTGTTGAGATATCCTTGGTACTAGCAAAAGAATTGCTAGCATTGTCTTCTTTTGCATCTAAGCGTGTCAGTTGTGATCATTCGAGTCGTTTCAACTTCTCCGACGTTGCCATCCATCTACTGTCTATAAAGCACGAAAAAGCATGAATCAAACACAGGATACGAAACTAAATCAAGAGACGTGGTGTTAAGCTCTACATGATTTGACTTCTACACTGCAAAAATGCATGACTACTAAAGAGTTTTCAGTATTTGTAAGTACCTTCTTGTCTCTGCACCACTCATAAGTATTCTATCGCAAAATGTGTTGTTGGCTTGCTCGTGCATGCAGCGGTGACGTCGATAGTGTGCTATTGCAACCACACCAGGTATTGATCTCCCATGAAGACGCTATCTTACACTCAATCAAGCAATTAGATCTCACGCGTGTCCATTTCTCATTGAATACTTGTAACTTCGTCTTGGAGTGCATCATTGACCGTCGTCATTTATCCACTACTGGAAGCGGTATGCTGAGTCAAGGACGAATCCAATTGCATCCATGGGTTTTGGACAGTAGTAGACAACTTGAAGACACTTTTGCAACACTAAAGAAAGTCGAAGTTCCAGCAAACAAAGTGACGTGGCGACTCTCGTTGAATCTGCAGTTTAAGTTCCCACATAGTGCAAATGTTGGAAGCGATAATTGTGGACTGGAACTTGGCAACACACGCATTGACTTGTTACCACAGAGCATTCAAAAGCGACAGATTGATTTAGAAAGAGTGATACACCGCCAGTTGCGTGTTGCAGGAACTGTTAGAGCACCTGAAGAAGGACAACTTGTACCTGTGAGGCTACTAGGGGACACGTATATCTTTCGGATCAATGAGTTGATGAAGAACAAAGAATCAGCGATGAGATCACATATTTCGGTGAGAGGATGGAGTGTGGTAGAGGTGGAGAATGACACACAGGTAGTAAAAGAGCTGGCTGAGAAAGTTGCGGTGCTTAGCATACAAGAGGAGGATCACATTAGGGAAATAGGTTTGTCGTACAAGAGCGAGATGGCCACGCGGCTGTGGAGCACTGGATTTGCAGGATACACCGCATTTATGCAAGACGTACTGCTCAACCTTGCCCTCGTCTTGAAGCGTGGGCAGAAGACGCTTGGCGACAATATGGAGATGGAGCAGATTGGATCACATGGAATACTGATCTCGGGTGTGCATGGTGTAGGAAAGTCCTTGGCACTTGTTGCTTTGCAGCGTGAACTTGTTCGTGAGAAGATTGGTACATGGAGGATCGACGGTATGCCGTTGCTAATGGGGGCGGAGAGCCCATCGTTTTCAACGGCATACGAGTATTTATGCCACGAGTTAGGACAGCGTTTTCCTGAGTTAGAAGCGTTAGTTGATGCCGAGGCGGAGTGCAGACCGGCCTTGTGTGTTGGTGTTGTGCTTATTGATGACTTGGACGTGCTTTTCCAATCGGCAGATGGTCAAGTTGCCGATGGTTCCGAGGCAAAGCTTCCACAACTTGGCAGTGCATTACTACGATTGATTGACGAGCTCAGCTTGCGTAATATACGTTTAGTTGTGGTTGGAACGACCGTGAATGCTGATGTGAATATGCCACCTGCTGCTAAGCGTCTGGGGCGATTTGGCAAGGTTCTGGACTTGATCATCCCTACTGAGCAGTCCCGCCGTGATATCTTGCGGCGGCATCTTATCGGGCTGCCACTACGAGGCGAAACGCAAGCTAAAGCTAACGAGATTGCAGGAAGTCTCGCTTCTCGTTTGGCAGTATTGACGGGGGGATACGTCGCGAAAGACCTAGTGCGTATCTGCCGAAATGCGGCCGCCCAAGCGCATGCTGAAGTCGCCAATAAGGGTAATTTAACAAAGCCGTCAGTCGGATGGATCGAGTTGCTGCGCGCTCAGCAGCAGGTCAAACCTTCACAACTTCGGGAGCTGAATGTGGCATCACCTAGTGCGTTGGTGGATAGAAACATGGCTTTTGCTGGCTATGCAGCCGTACAGAAGAAACTTTACGATTTTGTTACAAGGAAATTCCACCCGTCTGCGGCGATGAACGTACGTTCAGTGATTTGTCCATGTCGGATGGTCACTTCGTGTATTCCATTAACAATAATTTCTTGTAGCGTTTGGGAGTTTCGAGCGCGTCAGGAATTTTGCTATCAGGCCCGTCAGGTTGTGGTAAGACATTGCTTGTGCAGACACTGGCAGCTCAAGCCCAAGTCAACTTTGTATCAGTGAAGGTAAGTAGGAAAAACACTGGAACTTTGTGACAAAGCATTATCGTCGCTAACTCTGCGTTTGGTTTTGCTTGTGCAGTCATCAGAGTTACTATCCAAGTATTTCGGCGATAGTGAAAAAGCGGTGCGCCAGCTATTCGGTACGTTCGTTACGCAGCGACTTCGTTTACGTAAAGTTGTTATTCACTAACAACAATCTGGCAGCTCGAGCACGTGCTGCTTCACCTTGCCTCTTGTTTTTTGATGAGTTTGATTCTATCGCCCACAAACGATCTTTCGGCGAGGGCGATGGAGGCAGCAGTGGAGGAGGAGTCTATGCACGAGTTCTTTCGACATTCCTCAACGAAATGGATGGTGTAGGCTCACAGCGAGTAACTCCATCGTCAATTGCACACGCTAACGAATCATCTGCAGCGGACAGCGGCGGTATCCTAGTGGTGGCCGCCACAAACAGAAAAGACGCACTGGACGCTGCTCTCATTCGTCCTGGACGAATTGACAAGATTGTCGAGTTGGGATACCCGACACAAGAAGATATTCAGGTACACCATAATTCTTTCATGTTCATAACACATCATGTTCAGCCTGACAGATTGCTCTTTGTGTCCAATTCTAGGAAATTCTTACTCTTTACACGAGGAGAATGCCTCTAGCAGCTGACGTGGACATCCAAGCACTTGCTGCGAGACCTAGAGGGTAGACCGCATTGTGCCTGGTACAATTCTACTCAAAACCAGCTTAGCTGACCTTTATCTGCTTGTTAATGACAGGTCTCGCTTGTTTACGGGTGCTGATATAGCAGCAATCTGCAAAGAGGCCGCCTTCCGCACCCTTCGTCAAGATATTGAAGCAAAGACAGTCGATTTCCAACATTTCATAGCCGCATGGGATCAGCGGGCTGAAGAAATCCCGACATACACGACGCCAGTCACAATAAACCCGGACTACTCCACTCTCAACCAGTAGTGCGGTCATGTTTTCAGAGACTACGCAACATATCGTCAATCTAAAAAAATGCTCAGGCGTCAGCGTGGCGAGAGTGGAAAACGACCAGCTATGTCACGCGGTATAATTTTCAGCACCTGACGCAAGTCCTTGGTGCGAGCCAATGCCGCTCTCTCAGTTGACATTCTCTTTCGCACTCGATCAGAAAGCCCTTGGGCCTGTTCCCCATGTAACGGGGTTTGCCGCACCTTACGCTTCTTATCTGCCACGGCTGCAGAGGGAATATCAGCAATAGTCCCAAGCTCTCCGTCACATTGGCCAGCATTTGACTGAGCAAACACAGTTCCAAACGGAAAATAGGCTTGCAGAAAGGGGTGGTAAAGTGCCTGCTTTGCTGTAACTCTTGTGGCGGGGTTCACGTCCAATAGACTGTAGATAAAATCATGAAACTGGTGATGCTCCGGAGCCGCAGCTTCTAACCGTACCTGCAATGGCGTCAATAGCTTCGGCTTCCTATGAAAGCCAGCACTCTTATTGTCAACTGCAGATCTCTCCTCATAGCGTGCAACAGACTGGTACGGGGCACACATTGTATCCAGTGAAACTCCGTTCGTCACCACGCACTCAATCTGCTTCAACAGATCGCTGTTCTCATAGTTTGCAATATCAGTACGCTCCTGCACTGGCGCATCCAGCGGAGGCAGTGTAAATAATGGTCTACCAGACACGCACTCCAGTAGCAGGCAGCCCAACGACCACATATCCATGGCGGAGCATAGCAACAGACCTGCAGCCACTTCGGGTGCGCGGTATGTGACAGTCTGCACATCATAGCCTTCACGCGGGCGCTCGTCAATATATGCCACCAGCTCAGTCAAGTTTAAGCAATTTCCAAAGTCCACCAACTTTACTGGTGACGAGCATGGTGAGAGGGACACTAATGATCCCAGTGGGGCTTCGGCGCTTGAACGCACTACATTTTCCGGCTTAACGTCTGCGTGAATAAGTCCTTGGTCATGCAGAAAAGCTAATGCACCACAAAGATGCACCGCCATACACCGTACATCCACCAAGGACATAGGTGGTGTCAACACTGCTACATCATCCCGTACCACGTCTGTCTCGTGGTCCTGCTGCTGTCCATTCAATGACTGAATACTTGCGTTCGACAGCAAGGAACGTCTCCGCTTGCGTTTAAATAGCTGTAGCGTTTGAATAGGGACACGACCTTTACCAGGTGGTGCCTGTCGCCATGGTCCCCAACGTCCTACATCAAGTACAGGAGGTCCTAATAGCTCCAACACAAGACAAAAGTGACCTTGTTCTTCAAACGTCTTGAGCAATCGCACGACTAAGAGCAGATAAAAGATGAAAGGAATAGAGGAGCGACTGAAGTAAGGATCATTAATTCCATCTGAAGTAGTGCTAGTATTTGGATAGCACAACGCACCAGCACAAGCTTTGTCCATGTCTTGATTGTTAATTGTCTTTAATATTGCAGCTTCTCGCTTGCCCAATGCGTTAAGTTCATGTTCACGTACACACTTGATCGCTACGTGACGCTGCTGCTGGACGTCCAAAGCACTACAAAGAAAGAAAGAAAGAGACATTGTCATTAGAATTATACGATAGAAGAGAGCAAGGTCACGTCATATAACAAGTAAATTGCACCGCATAATCACAGCAAAAGTGCCACTGCCGATACGTCGAAGGAAGCGATAGCGACCATTGTGAAGTAACGTTTGGCCTTCCACAAGAGTCTGCATGTGTTTGGTAGAATATCAAAAGGGGTAAAATCAAGTTTAAACTTGGTTTTATTTCTCTGCGCTGCATCGTTACTTCATACGTCTACATTTGTTCACTTACAGCAACGTAAGTAGTAGGTAAACACGAATGATGCCTCCATACAAAAGTTAAATACTAATTGGTCGTTCTTACTTGTTCATATGTGAACCATGTAGCTCCGACTGCAATCGCTGAACCTCCTGCTCCAGCCGTAACTTCTCCTGCTGCGACTGATGTAACATCCATCGGAGTGATTGGACCTCCTGCTCGTACGCCTCGACGCTCTTGGCGTTTTGTTCTTTACTCAATTGACCTGCCCCTTCAACCAGCAAATGCATGTGATTCTCCTGTACAGGAGAAGATGATCCTTGCTGTCGCTGCTGCTGCTGTTGCGGCTGTAACCTAGAAAAGAATGGCTGCTGGGACGTTTGCGCAGGAGATAGCCGTGCCACTGAAGAAAACGAAGACTGTTTCATCACCATTGAATTGCCTGTTGCTGTGGCAAAAGTCGACACACCTCCTCCGGGCATCATTGAGACTGTTGGCAGCAACGTTGGTAGCGAGTCAGCAGAAGGAAACAGGGGCGGCGGCGACATGAGCAAGGAACTGCTTAAGCTGGAAGCTGTCGGAATTAGACGCGCAATTTTCCCATTCTTCGGCTTCTTGTTGCTGCTACCACTAGCCAACGACTCGCGAGAGCCACGTTTACCGAGACTTGGCTTACGACCTTGTATGGTCTTGACACTGTTGATTCGTTTGCTACGGCCACGAAGGTGCTGCAGCTTCTGCATGAGAGAAGAGCCAAATCGTACAATTTTGTCATTTTCTACTCCGCACATGGCAAGTTCCTGCTCAGTACACGGCATGTAAAGTGCCACCTTGGCAAGCATCGAATTGGGCAAAATGTCCCACGGTGCCACGCCGTACATGTTTACCAGTTTCTGGCGCCATGACTGTAGATGATGGAACACGATGCAAGCTTGCTCTTCCGTCACTGCTTTAAGTGTTGACATAGCTTCGTTTCCGGTGCTCTTCTCTTCTGACGTTTGCTGCTGTTGCTGCTGCTGTGCCAGTAGACGCTTGGCGTTGCTTTCCTGAATGTGAACAATACGCTGCCGCAGCGTTGCAGGATTGCAGTACTCAGCTTCGTTTTTAGCCAGCTTAAATAAAGTCTTCTCCATGTGTTGGGCAAGCCTCGGCAATGCAGCCAATACTTTCTCCGGTGCATTGGGCTTCATCGCTTGCAACATCTCTACAATCCTGCTGACCATTGCAGTGCGAATAGGATTCTCATCTATCTTGTCCCCATGCATGTCAACATCAGCTACTGTTGCATTCGGCATCACTGCGACAATTCCACCAGCTCCGCCCACGTAGAGCTCCAAACCAGTGTTGTTTGTCTGAAATTGCAAGGGCAAACGAGTGTCTAAATGCTGCTGCTGCTGGACGTCAGTGGGACTGCTGGAGCCACTGTTGCTACCGGATGCAACTCCTTCTTGCAAAAACTTCGTGGGGCTTACCCACCTTCGCTGCTCGCTGTCCCCACCCGCTGCAATACCAATAGCCGCCTCGTCTTCCCCTGGTTTATGGCGCCGGTTCACGTTCAGCTTCTTTACACGCATTCGGTCGTCAGCCTGTCTTCTAGCAGTGTACGTACGTACGTACGTAGCCACTTGCTAATATTGCTGCTGTCACCGCCCTGATGACGAGGTTTCGTAATCGATAAAGCTGAAGTTGCGTGACGGCGCCAAAATGGCAATGACGAGCGTACCGTGGCTGGCACAAACGAGACCAATTTCAATAGTGACACGTGCGCGTCATACTTTAACTTCATTTGCGTTCTCGCTTAGTAAGTCAGCATTGTGAAAGGAAGATATTTGATTGGAAGGACACGTGGGACTCGTCGCCACGACATAAAACCGACATAGGTACGACGTCACATTTTTAAACAAAATGCTGCAGGAATTTGTTTCTGATCGCTACTTGTGACGGGTCGATCTAAAATAAATGACAGTTTTATTATTCAATGTCTTTTCTAAAACATCGTTTCAGATTTGTAAGTACTGATTGAGCTGTGTGATCAATCTACAACTTCTCAGCGTCTGTGCTTGCCCATCATCAGTTGATGACGTCGCCTTCACTGGCAAAAATGCGTCAGAAGCATGGCAACATAACCTACACTTTTGAAGCGTTTTTTACCCTTGATAGTTGCTAAGACATTAGAAAAAAAATGAACAAGAAAGTGTTTTTTTCTGCGCACAACAATTGCCTCGCCGCTATAAGGTTAGTGAGCTGCACTGTAAGAAACGATCATTGCTGTTACGCTCCTTGTGAAATGTTTATGTATGAGGCGAGTATTAATAAAGTACATGGCTCCTTTAAGTTTACAAAAACCAACCGTATTTTTTGCATGTTTGACAATACCGCGAGCTCTGCCTAGTTGTCTATCTACTCAAACCGTTTATAAGACTGTAATTGTGTAACAGAGTCACCAATTCGGTCCCTTGGACTGAGCGCTTCGTTGAGGATCAGTTTATACGCAGCATTGGCCATAAGAATGAGCTTGACTATGATCGCAGAGTAAAAGCATTTGGCAAGTCCTTTTCATTTGACCTTAGCTGTGACAGAGTTTTCGTCGGGGATCTCAACACGCAGTAGTTCCTCTGTCCGACGTCCAGCGTGTGCGATTATAGCGGGTTTGTTAAGAGAAAGAACACAGCTTGCTCCCACGAAAAATGTGCCGTTCTCAGTACCAATTCGGTTCGAGCAAAGGAAGTAACAATTCCGTTTGCTGTACTCGCCTTTTGCTAGCACGCCAATGACTGGGGTCAGGCGCTGCGCCCAGTATGATAGTGTCGGGTAGGGTTCCAAGTCCGGCGCGTCAAAATCATTCCACGCACAAGCGAATAGCACCAAATCACTTTGATTTTCAACCACGTGTGAGGCAAACTCGTATGCTGAAAAGGGAGCCTTAAAGTCGTTTGGATTAATGTCCATGCAGATGCCAAATGATATCGTCTTGCAAAGCCATGGGCAGTACCAGGTGCAAAACCCTTTTCCCGGCGTGGCCCACGACTTATCGGTCTCGTACAAGAATGTCTTTCGTGGGTTGCACGCAAGTTCGCCGTCAGGACTAACAACCAGCATGGAGTTGTACAACAGATCGCCTTCTTTCTCAACATATCCACAGGTAACCATACAGTGCAACTGACGTGCATGACGCTGACACCATCGAAAAGTTGGTCCTTTGCCTGCAATCTCTGCTACTTGAGCCACTTGATCTTTTGAGCGAAATACGTAGCCCGTAAACGCCATCTTCTCCATCACCACCACCACCAAGTTTATACCACATGCTGCTATGTAAGCCACATCCACATCCATAGAGTTTAATATGTTTTATACCTTACCTCCGGCAACATTAACACATCAATCTGATCGTTTGTAGTTAGCAATGCAACCATTTTATCCACGTGCTGCATAAGCATAAACATAAACAAATTCACTATAGAGCTTTTACTCGAGTAATAGAAGAACCTCATTCACTCCACTGACCTGCATATTCTGCTCAATTAAGCCAAGTTGAGGATCTACCATGACCAAATATGATACAATCCATTAAGAATGCTAATTAGAAAATAAAATTGACTCTAATAGCGTATTATTCATACCATACTGGACGATAGCGATCTGCATGTGACACTACTACTACTTAAGACAAAAGCGACTGGAAAGATTTGTTTTTTTTCGTTTACGTTTTATTATCCAATCAAAAAAGCTTTCACCACCTTACCCTCGCCTTGCTTCAGTCTGTCTGAGTGCTTCAATAAGTTTAGGTATTTCCTCGAAACGAAGTCTTGTTGCGCGTTCAGGGGTTGCAAAAGCTTTCAGAGTCATTGTGTCTTTCAATTGACTACAGAAATAGTCCGCAAATAGCAACACATAGATACCACAATCATACCCATTTTGCTGCTGTGGAACATCAATTGCTTCCTCTACTCGATCAGAAGCTCCGTCTCCATCATGTCTTCCAATTGATTGAAGCAAAAGCTCAAACGCTTTAGCCACTTGCTGTGCTGCGTGTTGATTATGGCCAGCATTTGAGTCCAAATGACGAAAGTGGCCATCGCAATAAAGCAGCAGGGACCAATGGCTACTATTATCATCGAGTGTATTATTATCCGTCACGGGTATAATACAGACCCGCCGCATCATGAGATTTAATCCTCTCGCAAGATCCTCATACTCGTCCTTGTTTTCGCATTGATGTAAAAGACACGAGACTACGGCCGGATCCATGAGCAAGATATCACTTGAAGCGCGTGTTTGTGTCAAATACTGCAGATAAAAATTCATGGCATTATCATTCAGCCACTCTCGATGTAGAAATAGCGCTACATCTGACTCGTACAGCTGAACATCGCAGTAATTCAGTACTTGTTTGGTCATTTTCAGTAGTACCTCGGTACTCAATCAAATGTTACTAGTATAAAAATAGGTCACATCCTTTTCCACCAATCAAAACGCTACTGCTTTTTGTCGGTAAAATACCAATAAAACGTTTGTTTGAGCATGTCTTTGTTACTTCAGATTTTTTTTTCTTATAAAATAAAATAATAATCATAATTAAAAAAAGTAAAGAAGAAGAAATGACGTCGTCTCTCTTTCCACAATTTGGCAACGTCTTTGGTGCGCCTAGTACAGCTGGTCGTGTATGTAAACACTGTTAATCATGTATGTCTTTCTTTTCTCTTTCTATCCATGTTATTTACTATCGATACTTGCTATTACTTGCTACAGAATGAACTCGTATCTTTTAATGCTGGTAAAATGACTGTAAAACCTACAAGTAATGGTAAATTTCTCATTACACCACAATTGGAGAAGGGAAAGGTGTGTCTATCACGTGGAGATGATCAGTTACTTCATTTTCAATGGATGGACCGTCAGACGGGAGCGAGTCCCGAGGATTTTATCATTTTTCCAGATGATGCACACTTTGCAAAGGTCGAGACAGGGCGGCCAGAAGATCGTGTATACATTTTACAGTATAAAAACTCATCACGTCGCTTCTTTTTTTGGATGCAGGTACAGTAGACGACTGCTTTTATCAGTAGTATTGGGCTTTTTGACTTTTTTTGTTACTTAACAGCAGTCGTTGGACATATTTATACCTTGTAACTAAGTGTAACACTTGTCTTTGTATCAGAACAAAGATGCATCGCGTGATGATGAACTGGTGAAGAAGGTGAATGACTCCATGAACAATGCTCAGACAGCTGCTAGCAGCGAAGGCGGGCGTGGTGCTGGTAACAATGTGCAGTTGGACCATAACGCCATCATGCAAATGCTAGGCGCCATGGGTGCGGGAGATCAGGGCCGTGGAGGTGCTGCTGGCACTGGACAAGCTGTGCAAATGTCGGAGCTGCAAAACATTTTGCAAAACATGGGGCTGCCTGCGGGCACCCAATCGGTAGCCTCGTCCCCAGCAACCTCGGCTGTGTCGTCGTCTCAGGCGTCACAGAACGGAGGTGGTAGCTCGGCGGCTGCAACGACGGCGTCTACTCAGCATGAGCACGATGTCAGTGGTATGGAAGTGGATGAAATGGACGAGGATGAGCTGCTGCGATTGGCCATTGAGGAGAGCATGCGCGATGGAGGCAGCACCAATTCAAATGCGCCCGGAGGCGGCACTACAGGAGGTAATAATGACTCGGATAGCGGCAACAGACCCGCAGATCGCGGTGGACAGAGTGGCAGTGGCACCGGTGGAAGCAACATGGATACCTCATTCTAAGCTGCTGGAGACAAGAAAGCGAGTGAAAGGCTTATACCCGAGTGGGTAGGTAGCATGTAATTTTCCAACAATGACTTCATTTGCTCGGTCCATGCAGCTTTCTTGCTAACGTATTTCACCAGTGTGAGTCGATATCAATGCTTCACCTGCAGTCAACCTCAAAACAGTTCTCACACGTCTTTGTCGTTCTGCTGTAAATTTTGTAGGCATGCTATGCTGGCCATTGCCGGTTGCGCGTTCCACTATAGCAGTCATTTTGCTGACTAAAGCAGACTAAGCTGAGCCGCCATTTCCTTTTACATATTGTCATTATTTAGATGCGGTAGCCCCATCCGCCACTGCAGTGGCACCAGTTCCAACTCCATCTACACCGGTAGCGCAGCCCACAGCTTCTGTTGCAGCACCAACTATTGCTAGTGCTCCTGCTACTGGTGGAGCTCTTACAACGGCAGATCTTCAGCGCGCAATGGCTTCTTTTCAACAGCTCGCGGTAGGCCCTTCTTGCCATTACAATGTTTTGAGTAATGAAGAATGATCTTGGTGCCATTTTGTATAGCAACCGAAGCCAGTTTCTCTGACGAAGCTTCTTAGCGCTGATAACGTGGAACGTTTTCTTGATGATCAAGCATGTGTGGAGACTCTACTTCCACACTTACCAGAAGGCTCCCAAACCCCTGCGGAGCTTCGTGCAACAGTGAGTCTTGTCAACCACACTAGTTTGTGTCACGTGAGGTCAGTCAACTAAGTTTTCTTGTTTTTAGTTGCGATCTCCTCAGTTACGCCAAAGCATTGGCTCGCTTGAGAGGGCTTTACAAACCGGCAACTTGAACGCGGTTATGGCCAATTTTGGCCTAGATCCTGCTGCAGGTGCCGCCAAACTTGCCTTTGGCGACGGTACGTTGACGTCAAATGTTGGAACTCTGATCCATAGTGTCTTTGACAACAACTTCTTTTGCTGCTACGTGTAACTAGGAGTGGGTGCTCTACTTGCAGCAATCCAAGCGTGGGTAGACCAACAAGACACGACAATGCCTAGTTCGAATGATAAGAGCGAAGCAGACAACTAAGAAACGTCATCGTTGACACCGTCTTGAAGCTTTAGAAGACTATGTATGTGTCACATCTGTTTCTACAAGTATTGGACGTAGCACCACATTGATTGATCTCCAGGTAGTACTTGAATCCGAGATAATGATATTAATAGCATCTTCCACGACGTCGATATGGCTGCCCTTGAAACTGTTTTTGCCGTATTGGCCTTGTGTTTACTTGCACCTGCGGCGCAGAGACGGCTGCTATTTACTTGAGTGCGGTCGACGTTGTTTTCAAATGAGCGCAAGAACCGAAATGACCAAGCGCGTTACAATCACCGCACTTACAACAGCTTTGACAGCTCGGCACCAACTACTTGATAACTGGTTAAGCATTGTACTCATTCGCAGACTCTAAGAATTGCATGTAGTCGATATTGGCCTCAGCAATGTTTACGTTAACGCTACCGGTTATCTTGTTGTCCACTGGTCATGGTTGTGGCTGTGAATGGCTTGATTCTTTGTCGGAATTCTAGTGAGTGCATGAAGCGGGAGTCATCGCTAGCTGGGTTCTCGTACGTACCCATCTTGGTTGCCATATGTTGCGGATATTGGTGATGCAGTATAAATGCAGAGCTAGTCATCGAAGGCTTAGCCCCGTGGCTATGGCTGTGACCGTGGCTGTAATCATGGCCATGACTGTGACCGTGACCATGAACCGCACTGCATCCATTCGTAATTGCTGGCAACTCAGCTCCAACATCTTCCATTCCCAGCATGTCAAGCACCTGAGGCTTTGAGATCTGCACTGATAAAAACTTGTCAAGTCGTGCATGACGCCAAAAGATGTCTCGGGCATACTGCAGCACACGTTGCTCATCAGCCGAGGATGCAACCTCAAGGTGCAACGTAGCCACGCTTATGTCGGCCGCGTGATGCCAAATGTTCCACTGAGCTATACGTTCCACGCCTGGTACAATTGTTTGCACATCATGCAGAGCCGCATTGATATTATCTTCCAGCTCTGGGGGTGCACCTTGTAGTAGTTGGCGAGCTGTGTCCCGCAGCAAAGGCATCGTACTACCCAAGATGAGCAAAGAGATCAGTGCCGAGGATGCAGAGTCAGCTATATGCCACTCGAACAATTGAATCAGCAATGACGAAATGATTACGCCCACACTACCAAGCGTATCAGCCAATACATGAAGATACACACCGTACATGTTGCTGTTTCCACCAACGTGCCCACCTTCAGAGGCATCTTCACCGTGGGCCTGGTGGAGACTGTTGCCGTGACTATGTCCGTGACCACTATCACAGCCCCCTACGTGCCCTGAATCTCCTCCATGACTGTGGCTATGACCGTGGACGTGGTCGTGAAAAAAGAATAGACCAACTAGGTTCACAATAAGCCCAGCCGTTGATGTGAGGAGCAAATGGTCCGTTGTAACCTTGGGTGGGTCCATGAATCGTGATGCCGCTTCAGTTAGCAGGTGGAATGATACGACAAGCAGCAACAATGAGTTTAAGAAGCCTGAGAGGACCTCCACACGACCATAACCGTAAGTAAACTTCGCATCAGGCGGAAGCTGGCCAATGTATGATGCCACGAGACCAATCGTGAGCGCACCGTTGTCAAACAGCATATGTCCAGCGTCACCCATGAGACCAAGTGAGTTCGTGTAGAGACCAACACCGAGTTCCACAAACATAAAGGCAACATTGATTGATAAGAAAAGAAGCATCTGGCGCGAGGCAGGTCGTGACCACAATACACCAAGAATAACGCTCAATTCCGACAGCTTATCACTCTTCAAGTCAGATCCGGAACTTGGCCAACACGTGTCGAGATACACCTCACAATCAGTACCATTTCTAAACGATGCACTGGCATACCACCAACGACTTACAAGCACGTAAAGTATCATAGTACAAGCCGTCGCACTCAGAGCAGCACGCAACCATTGCTGCTCCCACAATGCAACAAGAATGAACAGCATGATTCCCGTCGATATACACACGAGTCGGGCCTCAGCTTGGTTTGCTGAAGATAAACATCTCTGCTTCTTCGTAAAGTATCCAGCTGCAAATTGACCCACAGCGGCAGCCACTAGATAAGAAAACCACGTAGTCATGGTCATAACGTCTCTGTCAGCCTTTGCTCGATCATTGACAATCTGTTGGGCATGAGCAACACTCTCAGGTGTCAAATAGCCCACTGCTGCAGCAATAATCATTGCCATTGCAATCGATAGCAATGTCTGAGGTGACGTATTATCGTCGATAGTCTCATCGAATGTCATCTGTAGCCCCAGAGCCGTTCCCAAAAGTATCAGAGTGTACAGTAACGATCCATACTCGTCTACATGAACACCAGCAACAAGCACAATACCCAAAAGCAGCAACAACGCGCCGTTCTTGTCTCCATGGCCAGTATCATTGCGCCAGCGCTTTAGTTGCAATAGCAGCACGTCCATATGTTGCAGGATGAAAGCAAACAGCAGACCATAATGTCGCAATGCTTGTATTGTAGTATAAAGTTTCACTAGTCGTTGCGTAGCTTGTAGAATTGCTCGTTGCAAATCAATCCGAAGGCGACGGACGTGTCTTGAGTTGCGGAAAACATAAGTCTGTAACAATAGCTGAAGTAACAACAGCTGAGATATGATTGTAAAGTCACGTGTTGCATGATGCAGTAACGAATGTAGAAGTAGCAATAGAAGAAACAAGCAGAAGGCTGAGGCAGCAGCGAGTGTAGCGCCATTGCGAGAGCTATACGAGCCACTATCTGACAGGTTCATTGCTTGATCTTTGGTAATTAACGCTGCTTTGATTGGACAAAGCTCATAAGAACTTATCTTGTCCTAAAACCCATCCTAGCCTAGTCTAATCTAACCTGTCCTAATTATTAATGCCTTAACACGTTTAGGCTGACCACTAGATAGTAGCTATAGAGAAATGAGTGACAGTAGCAGTGTTGTATATGATAAATTGATGTCAGTAACGTTGCCAACCTTCAATATGTCTTTTAACTCGAAATTTTGCACGCAAACGCACAAGTCACAATGATCAGGACCTGAAATTGAAAGTAGTAAGCACAAAAGTAGCACCGGACCCGTATTATCTCAAATGCATAGGGGCAAAAGCAGGGCAACGTCGTGAGCTTTGCTTTGTTAACGGATCTATCTATTGAGAGGAAAGTTTTACTACGTCGCATGGATATTGGATTGGTCACCAAGTTGAAGCTAAAGTTTGAAAGTCGTCTCTCCTCGATCGTTTAAACCGTTTCGCACAACTAAGATAGAAAACACAGGTTACGAAACTCCCTCGTTGTTTTAAACACGCTCTGTTTAGCCTAAGACGAAGGAGATTAAGGTCCTTCGTTATATTTAGCTGCACATTTCTTCTTTTGCAATTAGCTGCACGCTTTCGTTTGCTTTTTCAACTATTTGAATCTCCCAAGAATGCTTCCGGTTAAGTGCCTAGCGGCGTTTGTCGTTGTTTGCGTCACGCACACGAGCGTTGTAAGTGGTGAAGGCTACAGCTATCCGGAACACTCGACGAAAGCTTTGTCCCAGGAACAGCTGGTACTTACTCCCATTGTAGCAGAGATGCAGTTACCTGAAACAACTCTTCCATTAAAAGAAGACGCCAAAGCATATGTGGCTACACCGGCCGAGACACCGCCGCCCGAAAGAGTGTACACAGTGGATAATGCTGAGATGTATGTGCCCAATCTGAACGAGACCCCGTGCACTCAATCACCAATACACGATCCCAAGACGGAATCTGAAATTGAGGCTTTCACTTCAAGAGATTCCAGTTCATAAAGTAGATGATGACATCCACTTGACACCGAGACCAGTCACTGCGTTGGTACCTGAGACGTATAATCCATTGGAGTTCACCCCACGTATGCCAACTCCAGCGCCAACGGAACCATGCCCGACGCTTACGCTGGTGCCCGAAAAAACCGAAGCGCTTCCAACTGAAGAAATAACCGAGGCGGACGCAACATCTTCACCAATGAACCCCTGTCCGAAGCTTACGTTTGCCTACGAAACAGAGGATGACCAAGACGAGGTAACGACCGAGGAGTACTCCACGCCATCATCGACGATACCGTGCCCGAAGCTTACATTGGTGCTTGAAACAGAGACTTCTCTCAATGAGAAAATGATCGATGAACTTATGGCCCCGGGAAGCGGTCAGGATAAAGAGTCTTTCGAGTCCTACACACCCGATGTCAGTGATGTCCTGCTGTCTTCTCTAACCGATGCCTTGATGAATACATCTGGCCCGCAAACGGATGAAGTGGCTTTAGGGGTTAATAGTCCATGTCCCGAGGGCAGCACAAATCAGGAGCGGGTGGTGAAATACAAAGCTGCTGAAAGGGGTGCAAATGCCGACATGGAGTCTAAACCGACGAATATCCCTACGACCGACACAATAGATGTCATTAACCTGACCGACACAACGAATGCCAACGCGATGGACGACACAATGGATACTATGACTACGTATGACTTTAGCACCGCTCAAGATTTGGGTGACACGTTCTCACATTCGTTACACACACAGAACCGCAACCTCCGTTCGAACTGATACCAAAGTGAGTTCATTTCGAGTTGATTTTTGCTTTGTCTTTCGTATGTAAGCAAAGACCACGCAGCTTGCCAGACATTTTGACAGTTGCTATTAAGATAATAAACGTCTCACATCGTCTATTCATCAATCAATCAATTAGAGATCTTTCTATCAGGCTGCTTGATCCGTTTAGCATCGCGTTGCAAATATCAATTGAACTCCTTATAGCATCAAATGGACTGTGCAATGCAGTAGGTAGGAACAAACCCTTCAAATTTGCGATGACTGCACACGACATAACTTGCTGCCGTCCGTGATACTGGCTTGTAGGTTGCAGCCTCTCGTGTCTATGAAGTCTCAAACTTTTGTAAGGAAGCGAAACCGGTCCAAGACCGTTGTGACGATCTTTAAAAGTGTCTCCATGCCCACTGCACGCCTGACAAGCATGAGGTATTCAATGTGCTACCGACGTGGCCATGACACTTTTTGGGACGTCCTTCGCCAGCACTGCGTCTCATGGAAGCGGGGGTGATCCAATTTGCACTTTCTAATCTAGTGTAAAAGTAAAGTATATTGACGGTGGTCGTGTTAAAAAGCTACCGTCCAGCGATATGTGGCGCCTATTTAGGTATGACAACGGCCTGAGCATGGCTGCAAACCCTACGACTACAGCGCCATTGTACAGCTATCAGCTACAACAGATAGCAATACGTCCACCAAAACCATCCAAGAGTTTCTGACAAACGAAATCATCGTTTTATTGCATTAGCAGTAGCTAGTTCGTAGACACTTCAAAAGTGCAAAATGCTTGATAGCTCTCATGTATCCCCAAGAATCTATAACGCTGGCGACCCGCAGCTTACTTAATAAGAAACCAGTTACTGACACTGGTCGCGCCTGTATCGCTAAGCATTAAGGGCTTTCTAATACGGTTTATGTTGGATGAAGCATGTCTTAGCAGCACGCACTGCATGTGTAACGGGGTTACACAAAGGTGTGTATTGCACATACACACCTGCCACACGGTGTGGCTGTACCTTGGGTACAGTAGGTAGATGTGACCGTACCCAAGGTACGAAGGGTCGCATCGTGGCATAGAGACGTTTTGGTTGGTCACTATACTTAGTTAAGTATAGTGAGTAAACATGTTTAAATATTAATAGGCCGAGCAGATAAATATGACTAGCACGAAGTATAGAGGAGGTGATTCTATGTTTAGTGCTAGAAGATAAATATAAAAAGATCAGTTTCAAACATACTCTGAATAGCACACGTGTAAGAGCGTTCTATTCCTTTGTAAAAGGAATTGTATCTTTGATACCAGTCTCTTGGAGACGTGGTTGTTTACAACCAAAAGGCATAATCTTGTGAAGCTAGCTTTGGGAGAATTAAGAGCCCTAAGACATTTAAGCTCGTTGGGCTTGTCTTCCTCTACACTTAGTGCATAAGTACATTTGCTACAGTAGCTCGGCTACAGCACGCGTCAGAATGATCAGATTGCAAAATAAGTAGCTATTGACAATTGTTAATGTACTTGTGCAAGTGACGTCTCGTACGCTGCAACACGCATTGATTCTTAACGTAGTCACACACAAGGTACATGGAAGTACCCTAGGTAGCCTTGAGCTCAGCGTGATTTTCAGCTTTACCAGTACTTCAATACAGTTCGACAAGCTAGACAATTGGTTAATCCTCACCCTCCGAGTCTATTTACTCGTTATAATACGTTTCTTTCTAACAGTAAGAACAAGTTCTCGATATGTAGCATGCAAAATTATTGTGTATAAAGTATTAGAGGTAGGCAGGGCCGGCAACTCAAGGCATCTATGAAGCTTTGGCATGAGAGATTGAAGGCACACGTGTGACCAGTACCTCAAGATTATGGCTGAACAAGGGCATGTTGATGGTATGGTTGTAATTGCACGTCAAAAGACGAGATGTGAAGCATGTCATACTGGCAAACAGCGTCCCAGAAAGCCCCAGAAGAAAAAAAAGATCGCAAGATCTCTGCGCCGAATCAAGTAGTGTACGCGGATTTGATGTTTCCAGCTAAGCACTATGGTACTCGATTCACTGCAATACTCGTGCTGTCACTGGGATGTGGCATGTAAACGCATCAAGGCTACATATTTGTCGACTGATGAAGGAAAGCTGAATTTGACCAAGATGGAGCGTAAAATTCGTAAAACGATTTTAATGTCGCTCCAAGTTGAACTTGCAGTGCTTTACCGGACGGAGCCAACTGGAAGCACCATACTGGCTGCTTTGACGAAACATAACGCGAATTGGATGTTGACAGTTGCTGTTTTCCACAAAGTACAACGGCTTGAGGAAGAATTACGAAGCAGAAAGTACCATGTGAATGAAATACATCGAGGTCCATCTTTGGAAAATAAGAAACAAGCAGCTAAAACTCGCTGACTTGGTAAGAACACCTCATTTACAACGATGATGATGTTCGTAGTTCACAGTTTGCCGGCAAAGATTGACGAATTCGCGTTGATCGAAACGCAAAATTGGTGTGGAAATGCTCCGGCGAAAGACATGGAAGATTTGGAAGAGCAAATTCGAACAACCAGGTCACGTCACACAGAAGACGAGTGTCTATTGTGAACACTGGTAATGATACAAGTGGTCGCAGACCTAGGGAAGGTCTCGATAAGAAACGTGCCAAGCCATATAATTGGAGCGAACTGTGTTGAGTGAAGTTTTGCCGATAATATTAACATCGATAGCCAAAAAGTGCATATATTATGGCCGCGAACCCAATCTGCTCGAAGCGTACACGACACATTAAGCTAGGTGGCAATTTGTGTGAGAACAGGTTAAGTTAAAGACTGTGCAACTTGAAAAATTTCCCAGTGAGCTGAAATGTAGCCGAGATACTGTAGCAAAGCTACTTATACACTTAGCGCAAAGATAGACTAGCTCCAAGAGCTGTATGTCCTAGGGCTCTTAACCCTCCCAAGGCTAGATTTACACGCTTGTGCCTTTTGGTTGTAAACAACAGCGTCTCCAAGAGACCAGTATCAAAGATACAATCCTTTCACTAAGGAATAGAACGCTCTTGCACGTGTACTATTCAGAGCAGGCTTAAAACTGATGTATTTATGTTTATCTTCTAGCACTAAATATGGAAGCGCCTCCTCTATACTTCGTGCTATTCACTATTTATCTGGCTCGGTAGCCTATTAATATGCAAACATGTTTACTCACTATACTTAACTAAGTATAGTGAACACGATACAGATTAAGGTTTTCCAGCATAGAGCCAGGCTCTATGCTGGGAAACCTTAATCTGTACCGTGCAGAAAGGGAGAGTGAAAACAGTTGTAGTAAGCTACAATGATGTCGAGGAGCGAAATAGATGCTGCAACACATCTTCTGGACTTCCCCCTGCGCCCAAGCCTGTTGGCAGAAGTTTATCTGCTACTGTACTCGAGAAAGATGAACTGTTTTGTTGGCGAGGCAGCCTTAGAGCTTGCCCGTAGAATGGTTGACGATTCCGCTACGCGAAAAGGAGACTCCGATGATGCAATGTGTTATGTCCAATCGCACTCCTGCATACATGGTACAAAGTCGATACCAAAATTATTGCGACGCAATTACAACGAGTCTTTGAGACATTAGTTGGGGCTACGCAGAATCAGTTTAGAAGGTACAAAGGCTCGGAATATACACTGACGGAGACATTGCTGGGGCTCCAAAGCTCGGCGCAAGCAAGTGCATAGCAGGCAGCGGTACAAAAAAAGACGTCGCCAGCTATCAGAGACCATGGCAACACGCTTACGGAGTACCAGGTGTGGATTGCGTTTTAAGTTGCAGTGAGAATAATGGGGCGATATGCCTCCTTTAATTAGCTCGTTTCAAACAATCTCTATCTATTACTCATTCCTGCTACGCTCCAGAGTAAATGGTATTTGGCTAGTTGCAGACCTAGACGCCCTGTGCTCCTGAAAAATGGGTGGCCACTTGACGCGCATCTTGGTATGGTCACCTGGGAGCGCGTGTACAAAACATCTCCATGGCTATCGCATCGACCTGTTGCTGAACCTCCGAACTCCTTAAGATCCGCCGAATCTGTTCCCTTCCGCTGTATTAGTGGTATGCGCTTGCTTCTGGGCGGTCGGCTTGCACTTTGGATTCTGAATCTGACAAGTGATTGCTATCTGGTCGTCCTGGCGAGGCAGCGATTGCCATTGGTTTAACAACCCTCTTGACAGGCAGCTGCCAGCAGTGGCTTGACTGATGAAGTCAAATAAATCCATTTGCAGCAACTGACTACGTTCTTTGCGCTTCATTAGGAAGCTGAAGTGACCATAAAGTCGCAGAGTTTGTCGCAAATGCCTGGCTGAGCCAAGCCGAGAACAGCGTGTACGTGACTGTATAGATTGGGAAGAAGCACCATGCCGCTTTTGCGCTGTCGGAGCTCCACCTAGTAACCGCTAACGCGGCCAAGTAGCCCTTGGCCCCACAACTAGTGACGCTAAGCACTATAATTATATAGAATTGCGGAAGGGAGTTGAACATTTTGTTTACTGCCGAGGGGAGCCACTACCTCTGGCAGCAAAGGGGTCACATCAGCCATGAGGCTTATCGGAAGTGGAGATAAAATTAGGCATTCGACCTATAAATATGCCATATTCTGGGATCTGTATCGCGATGGCATTAGCACAAATGGAGGATGACCTCGCAGCCCATACTTTCAGTCTAGACGGGATCACAACATGTAGCGAACGTGGTATTCGCTCGACCGGCCGTCTAAGTTGAGGAGTTAATTGCGATCACTACATACGGCAAGAAACGCTAGTTACAATGCGGCGAGGGTGGGAAGGAATGGGAGCGCAAGAATCTAATAAACAGCTTATGTGGTACTTAAATGAATGTATTTCCTACACTATTCAGATGTGAGGACGTCATTTAGAAGTACAATTGGGGCTACAGCGAGCTGATAGCAATTGCGGCCAACTTTCTCCAACAGAATTTTTTTGTCCACGCGTACAATACTACCACACGAGAATAATGGGAGTGCTAGATGTACCAAACCTTCTCCAAAACGCGAGGGGTAAAGTACTGGACAGAAAGTGCCATTATAATTGGATAGTGCGTTGCGGCGGTTCGACTCGAGAAAACTGAGAATATGCAAATGCCACTTATACTTCGCTTTTTGGTAAGAACACTAGTCGGGCATTTGTACATACGCAACCCAGGTGCGGCACGACGTTGTAGAGGCAGAGGAAAATCTAGTAGTGCCGGCATCTATCGCATCAAGTGGAAATAGTGGGTTACGGCGACAGCGAGAGCTCACTTATCTGCACGGACAGGAGCAGCGTTACGACTCTATCGAGTTCGATGGCTACAATGCCAGGGTTATTAACCTTTTCAAGGCTAGCTTTGTAAGCTTGTGGCTTCTGGTTGTAAGCAGCCACGTCTCAATGAGACCAGTATCAACCGATACTACTTCCTTCTAGTACGCTCTAGCAACAAATGCTATACAGAGCAGGTTTGAAACTGCTTTATGTAATATTTAATATCGTCTAGCAAATACCTACTGCTCCTCTTACTATTTACACACATGTATCCATCGTACTAAGCCAAGTCTTATGACCCACCATTGTACGTTAGGTAGAAAATGGGAGCCCCGATGTACCTAAAGTTAGCCACACCAACATTGTCATTTAAGCTATTAGTGTGTTCTTAATAACGAGAACACTACTATCACTTTCAGCTGAACTTGACTACAGTATGCTATTTTTTGTTACAGTATACCCTACTATATTATTGTTACAGTATACTATTCAAACAGTATATCATAGCTACAGTATACGTCACTTCGTCGGTCGTATACAGCTACTACCACTATGTGGCTTCTAATAGTAGATCAGACGTATTTAATCTACATAATCACTCTTCGACGTTAACAATATCTTTAGTGACTAACATTAGCCACAGCATATTGTCCCAAGACGTTAAGCGAATCTGTCTGCTCATGGAGTGAGGATCTACTCATAATGAAGCACAAAGACACAATAAAGTGTCGTGAGGTTGTTGTGTTGTTTCTATCCAAACTTCCACACCACGTATACATTGAAAAGAGTCATTTCTTCTCGCGTATACTTTAATAAATCGTAGTTTCCATTTGTTGTTTACTTACTAACTACTACTTCAACTACTACTTCAACTACTTCTACTACTTCTACTACTAACTACTACTTCTACTACTACTTCTACTACTTCTACTACTTCTACTACTAACTACTACTTCTACTACTACTTCTACTACTTCTACTACTTCTACTACTTCTACTACTTCTACTACTCTACTTTTGGTACGACCACATCACCTACTTTTGTACCCAAGGTATAGCCACACCACATTGGTGTGGCATGTGTGTATGTACAATACACCCCTTCGTGTAACCGTTACAATAGTGATAATTTTACGACAATCTAAATGGTCGATTCTTGCTGCTAATTGAGGCTTTACCAAACATAAAAGGTACTCGGAGCTAGTAATGAGCTGCCCCACGAACGTATATTTGAGAGCTGCACAAACGTATCGGATAAGGAAAGACGAGGCTTATGTTGCTGCAGTAGAGCGTGCTGCTGGAAAAGATTGCAGGCAGTGTTGTCGGTATATGGTATGAGAGCAAAGCGAAAGCCACACGCCGCAACTCTGATATGCTTTGTAAGCCGATAAGCTCCTCAAAAATGGATGGCCGGCCACAAGATTCTCACACGGCCGCATGGTATGCACCTAACAATGAACTTGTCTCGTATTCATTTTACTTATCTAAACGATCTTGCGTGCTACCGACATCAATACCGACACTGGTACTGCCACTAATACTGCACGTATTCAAGCTTGCGACAATTGTTGAATTGAGCAATATCTTGAGGAATAAATTTTGCCTGAGGATCAATACCAGAAAAATTTTTCCACTGCTCAAATGTTCGCTTCGTACCAAGAGTATAGTTTTTTAAATCCGTACGGTCAAAATCTTCCTTTGTGACAGGCAGTTTAAGAATATAGCGAACGCGGCGTCTAGATTGTTGCTGTATCAAATACCGTTCGTTCCAGTCGCGCTCCCATACCACCTTTCGCTTCTCGTACCAGTGGAACACAATGTCTTCTGACGGCGCGTAAAAATCGTATCCGTTAGTCCAAAGCCGAGCGGCGCGTGAATACTCTTCCCCGTGGAAAAGAAACGGTGTGTGTGGATCGTTCCGCACCTCTTTTGCTTGCTTGCAACCGCCAAAGTTGAACCCGCCCGCCAGTTGCGACACCAATATTGCCTTTGGTGTGTCCTTCTTCTTTATGACTGATGCAGGGTCATACATGACCATTGCGTCCGCAATATTAACTTCAATACGTGCCAGGCACATGATATGCATAGTGTCGTCTACTTTGCGGCTCGCAATATTTATTATGTCCTTCGGGTACGTTGAGATGATAGCGTTTGGATTCTCCACTGAATCCCACTGCGCCATAATTTTCTCGTCCCAGTCCGGGACAAAAACCATATGCGAGTCAATTGCCATGCAAAAATCTTCGTTTGTGATAACCTTTTCCGTCTCATATCGCGCAGCTGTAGGTCCCTATAATACAAAACCCAGCGACAATGACAACCCTATCATAAGACAAGAAATCAAACGTAGCCAGGATAGAATCTCGAAGCCTCTCTATAAATTACTACCGTTGCATTGATGGCGTCAATCTGGGATGACACAATCTGCGAGCGGCGACAAAACATTTCCCCTACAAGCTCGCAAAACTGTTGAGCGCAAGGACGTTCATTTTCCGCCGCATAAATCTGGTCGTAGATACTGATCTTTATGTTATCTGGGGTTACTGCGCTGGTAAAAATTGAGCGCAGTGTTTCCGAACACCTTTGCAATTTAAGAAAAATAGTAAGCCATCACTAGACATTACAGCCAGAAAGGCGGTCGATACCTTACTGAGTCACGGTAATTGGAAATCATGATGATAGTCTTGCGGCCATTGACGATTGATGACGGTTTTATAGGTACATGTACAGTATTCAAGTTCATTTGCTGGTCGGCACGTAGGTAGACGCGGTGTTCCTCAACAGGTGCATTTACTTTCATGCCATTGGATGCGTATTCCTGTAGATAAAACAACTCGTAGAGCACCAACATAAGGTAGAACAAGGGAATGAACACAAGTGCATCTATACGTTGATTCCATTGAATACCTCTACAAAGAAAGTATTCATAGGATCGTACGCGTCCATTAGGCTCAAAGCTTGCGACCATTTGAGATTAATTTGTTATTCGGTTATTTTTATTATTATACTCTCAATTGATATTTCGTAATACCTTATAAATTTCAAGCGACACAGGTCACTTATATTTTAAGCAGTCACAAATATAAGTAACCTGTGTGACAGGGTTACACCAAGGTGTGTGAGTAACATGGCTGTATTTTGGGTACATTGGGATCTACATCCTCTTTAATGTAACAGCACTTGGGGCTTTACATCGCGTAACGTAGCCATGGTCAAGTATTATGAACACATATGTTTACACATTAGGAGGCTACAACGCCAGTGAAAAAAACGACTGGCATTAATATATAGAGTAAATGTCTCTATACTGAAGCTAGACGGTAAACCCACTAAATAAATCTGTTTTAAACCTGCTCTGTAAAACATTTATGCTAGAGCTTTAGTCCTTATAAAGAAATAGGTATCTGTAAATGCTATGTTGTTGCAACCAAAAAGGTACAAGCTTGTAAAGCTAGCCTTGAGCGAGTTGTTAGCCCTGAGACAAAAGCTCCTATATTTGTCTTTTTCAGCACTTGGTGCATAGGTAACTTTGCTACAGTAGCTCAGCTATATCTGGTAGCACTCGTAGCCATCCCCGCACCTGGGTTTACGACTACTTCTCTGTGTGAGAATGGACATCGATGAGATGTCAGCGGTTGTCCTGTCACAGGCACAACAGGAAGGATTGCAAAAGCTGCTCCCTATCTTTGGCCCTAAGGGCGTAGAGTACCTCATCGCCCAGGGCGAAGCAGAGGTTAATAAGCGTATTCTAGGCTTGATGAATATAACAAAGCTCTAGTCGAGCATGTGAAGGCACAGATGCCTTCTTCTGCACCTTCGACCATGGCACTTATGGCACAAGAAGTGGTCCGCAGACCAAAACCCATACAAATGAAAGTCGATAAGTTCGACGGCAAAGAAGGTGACAACCTTATGCTATGGTTCCGACAGGTCGAGTCGGCTATGTTTATAGCTGACATCACCTATGAACCGTGCCGTGTGGGCTTTGCCACGGGCAAGTTGGGTGGATATCCAAGCAATGGGCGTTCAAATGCGGTGCATCATGGCAAGATGAGTTTAACATGGGCCGATCTGAAAGTTCAGATGACCCAGCAGTTTGCACTGCCAAATTAAGCACACCGTAATAGGCCGCAATTCTTGGCGTGTCGCCAAGGCAAGCGTGAGCTTGCGGCAAATGTACAAGAGTTGAGAACTCTCATTGCTGCCATGGTCAAAGATCCTATGCCTGAGGCAGTAATCGTCACGGTCTATATGGAGGGCCTCCGAGTTGGAGTTGTTAGAACGGAAGTCTTTCGGATAAGCCCGTCCTCACTCGAGGAAGCTGTTGGGGTAGCATGGAATGCCGAGACCAACTTTAAGGTAGCTAGGCCTGCCACTTATAACTAATCGTCTGGTGGGTCTGCTCCCAGGGACTGTAGTAAATTGGAGGACGAAAAAGCTGAGCTTCAAGCTGCGGAGTAGAAAATTGTGCGCAGATGTTACATTGGCAGCACAATATTTTCGCTTCGAACTCGCCGATTTCTAGATTGCCTTCCCATTTTTCTTCTGATAGCATAGCTTTATCGAAATAGTGCTATCCACTTCTTCAATCACCCCGGGAATAATCAACATGGCATATCCACAATCTCCAAGCGCACAGCGTGATCTCCGCACAATTTTGCCACCAAAATGGCCCATGCAACATATGTCCCTACTTGCGAGCGTATCCGTCTTTATATCGTTCCAGATATAATCATACTTGCGATACACATTCTATACCATGTGCTTATTGATCTGCATTATGCTGATCAGCTCGGTTCTGGATCGCGATTGTTAGGCAGTCATTCACCATGGTTTTAGCGCGTTAGTAATGTCGCTGGATATGGTATCTCCACCGCCGCAGGTCTCGATCACGTTGTTTGGTGCTGCCAAGTGGTAAAGTAGCTTCCAAAGTGGATCGCGAATCCACTTTGGAAGCGGATCATTACCATGATCGCGATCCTGCGCCGTATTAAGCGCAAAAGTCAATCATGCTGCGTAGTCATCCCAGTCCTCTTGACCCACGTCTGTGACATACATCTTTAACGACCTCATTAATTTCGCACCATCCGCTTGGCTGTTTCATTCTATTGAGGACGTTAAACAATTGTAGCTAGCTGCTTCTGATCATCGATCCGATTATATGCTCGAAAGAAATCAGACATGACACATGACTCCTTATGATGGCGTATGGCTTCACTCGCACCAAATCGACGAAAGACACATGCTTCATAGTTTTCTGCAACTGTTTGCGCCGTTAGATACGAAATTGCTTTTGCAATTACATTGCCAAAAAATAATCAACTCATAGCAACAGCTCGGTATTCCCCTTGAATGACCGAGTTAACGATGGGATGTGATCCATAGCAATAATTTGAAAATGCTAAGTAGCTTGCAGATTATCAGGCGATTCACCGCGGATCGCAGGCGACCTTTACCAGTTTTACAATCCACACATTCTCCCACGTAACGTTGCACTTCCCATAAAGACCTCGCCAGTGAAATTAGTCCTGATCCGTTAATACGTTCGGCCATTCCCTTTATGACCACCTTCCAAACTCGTATGATAATGGTGTAGGAATTCTTGTTGTAGCAATTATGGTACCACCAAACGAATCAATTAATTGCGATCTTAAGCTTTGACCGCCGATCAAGGGCAGAATCAAGCAGTAGCTTACCCTTATTCACGTCACATCCCACTCAGGTATGTCTTCAGACTGGCGATTCAGACTTTTTCATCTTGCGCTTGCTTTATGCGCTCGATCCGAACTTGCTGCACGATCTCTTCTTGTAACAATATCGGCTGTCGACGTCTACTTACAGCTTAAATGGTGATCGCTGCCATCTTGACCACTAGATCCACACACTTTGCTACCAGCAATTCATCTAACGATTGAATGTATTCAGTTCTTGAAAGCCATGATCAAAAACGTTTCCTTGCCTTGTCCCTGCTGCAAATCTTCACTTTCCAGTCGATCTGCACTCTGGTTTTACTCTTTTTTCACGTGTACAAACTCGTATCGGCCACAAACAAAATTTTTTCATAACTTGATGATGTGATATTTGCAATCTAGGTGCCTTGCAAGTTGGTTTCCCGTGCATCTGCCGGATCACTAGGTTTGAATCACCACATATAATAGCTCTTTCTTTAGTCTGCTGGAGAGCAGATCGTAACTTAATAGCAATCCTCGATACTAGGCTTTATTTACTTTCGGATCTGTAGCATACTCAGAAGCTGCCGCCACGATCGTCCATGCGAGAAGTTTCTCTACGGTCGCGCTATATGCTCCACCTTTTCGCTTAATCCGATCTAATCCATCGAAACTAGCCACCAATCGACTTTCTTACTTTCCACGGTAGGCCGCGACATACTAATAGCATACTTCGGCTGTTTCTACGGAGCAATCGCGATCAACATTTCGTCGATCTCATCCCGTGGCAATTTTTGCTCGCGGCCAGGGTATTGAGCATCCCATCTTTCCCCTTTCAACGTCTGCCGACCTCTATCGTTTAAGTTAATAAATATCGCCCGTCTTCTTAGTCTCCCTTTGAGATCGGAAGATTGCACTAGCCACGCTAAAGTTGAGTGCCGAGTAAATACCTTTATTGCACTTAATACTACGTCCTTGGTCGTTCGTATTCGGCCTTTTGTCCTTAGTTCTTGATTCTGATCGACTAAGGTAGCTTTAACTCTGAACCAAGGACCAAGCTGAATACGAAGCGCTAAGTCTCGGGGTAAAGATAGAGTAAAAAGTTAAATGATAATTAAAGCTATATTTAATACTACTTAATTGCAATCTACGTGGAACTACTCCGTCGTACTTTTAAGGAACTTGCTAAGTCCACCCACCTGATTCAGGAAGGGACACATTTTGTTTCCCTCTTGAAGACAGTCGTGTGATAAGATCCAAGTGCGAAGATAGCCCCAGGATATACTTGGCCTGTGATTTTGTAAGTAGCACCCCCCCCAATTGACCCTCTATCGGAAGTGGTCTCCGTAGTAAAGTGGTTTGGGAACAAGTAAAGGCGAGGCGGTAAACACTCTTGATATATCAAGGAAAAGGCCGGAGTTGGAAATCTCCCCTACAGAATTCGGTTATAAGCCCATCCTCGACCTAGTCGACCGAGTGGATACCTACTAGACTACCGATTGAAGTATATTAATTTGAGGCACCCCAAGGTCGACCTCCTTCAAGGCCAACATCCGATCTCAACCAAGATCTCTGTAGAGTGCAACCTGCCAGCCGACGGGTACACAAGGTGAGAATGTCCACCGCGGCATCGGGGTACCCTCTCCGACAGACAGCAGTCCGGAACAGTGAGTGACTTGGAGTCTCATTAAGCAATTTTAAGAACCCACGCCACCACAATGGTGCGCGTGCCCAAATCTTTTGGAAGACGCGGGATATCACCGCTAGTTCCAAGAAAATGAAGATGAACAAGCAAAGATGGAAAAAAGACCGATCGCCAGTGACTACAGAAGGAAGCAGCAAAGGATCGAAGGACCGACCGGATGTTGGGAGGGGCTTGGTCAATAATTTCAAGGTTGAACTTATTGAAGAAAAACCGAAATACCCCCCTATGCCCTCGTCGAAGACACTTGGGTCATGGCATCTATCATACCTCAGAGGACAATCTTTCGATGGTGAAAGCTGATAGACTACTGCACTCAAAAACAAACCAAAAAAAACAAAAACTACAAAAAATAAGTTGGCCACGTCCAAGCCGAGCAAGTTCAGGATGAAGGCGCCAGGAGACACCAAGTTGGTAGTAATGGTGACCTCAGGAGCTTTTACCTGGTAGGATGCTGACGTGACCATGGCTTACCATCGACTCAAGCTTGACGCGTTCTTAGAGAGCAACCCCGTCACCAAGACCCTCGAGATCCGATTGCTGGGCCAGCTCAGTAAACCTGTGTCGACATTTCCCAGGCTGCGGACGGTGACAGAC